GGCCACTACCAAGCAGTCTGAATGGATGAGCAACTTGATCCAAATGCAGGCGGCTCACATGGAACGGATGGAACAGATAATGAGCCGGCTAATTAAGCCTAACCCGGCCCCTGCTCGGCCTGCCCCTGCATCATTTCCGCTCTTGCTTGCTCCGCCTGCTCCAGGGTGCGCGCCTCAGTTCCCTCATTTAGCTAATCCAGCAAGGAAGATCGAATCCTTTAACTGCAAGCTGCCTGGGCATTTCGCCCATGACTGTCCGCAGCAGAAACGTAGTCAGCCTCCCCCTGCTGCGGCCCCTGTCRCCCTTAACCAAGGACGAGTGGCCGCCTTGATGGATACGGATCAAGGAAGAGAACTCGTGGCAYATGCCCCAGAGCAGYCTTCCCCTTCGATAGCAACGACATCGACTTCAGGAGCTTCTTCCTCTGACGCCGCTGACGTGGTCRATCCCCTYGAGTATCTCCATCTCGCAGGCATGATCGGAGCGATCCGATCGGTCCCAGATGATCTCGAGTGGGTCGATCGMGAATYCAATCYAGGACCGCARTTTCRGACARGAGACATTGATGTACTGAAAACGCTYAAGCAGTTAGACATCCGCGTTCCTATCCCCGTAGGGCATCTGCTCACCATATCTGAAGCGGCGAACGATAAACTTTTACAACACTGCCAGAAAAATCAAAAGCGTTTCACCTATCAACGTATACAATGGATGTTGAAGAAGAAGGAAGAAGGTGAGGAAGTGGTTCCCCCTGAGCCGGACACTAAAGAACCTGAACGTGAAGCCGCACGCATAGCCGCCATCTCTTTAGCAGAAAAGGATCACTTCGTACGAGTTCGGCCAGTACTATGAAAAAGTGCGGAATGTGACTGTGAAGTTTGGGGTAAGCCGTTTAATGCCCTAATCGACACAGGGTCTTCTGCAGTGGCCATATCATTGGAGACTGTTAAAAAGACGGGACGACTTGGATCCATTCTTCCTAAGTCAGGCAAAAACAACTATGCCTCTGCTGATGAGGAAGCAATGAACATTGTAGGCACTATCAAGAACGTGGCGGTAAAGGACGGGCGAGTACACGTCCTTGTTAACGCACTCGTAATAGATGTACGTTCCTACTCTGTGTTGTTGGGATTACCTTGGGCAATGGCGGTGGGCGCCCGTCTACATTTCGATTCGAAGCAACTGGTGCTCACGCAAACTGGGGGAAAACCTCAAACTGTTCCTTTGCGAGTTTCCACCCGAACGATAAAACGGGTCCCTAACTCGGCTCCCATCGGGATGATTTGATACATTGATCCCGAGGAGTGCTCCCCCTCGGACCTCAGTAATGGAATCAGGGAACAAGAATACAGAGAAGAGATGCTCAGTGAAGAGGAATGGAAGCATCTGGTTGAACTTTTCGAACATGTTACCCCCGAAGAATTTCGAGTGTGCCTCGACACCACTCGAAGCTTCCACGTGGATTCTGAAGACAGCGCATCCATGCCTCTAACAACCCAGGTCAGTCCTTCAGTCCTCCTCGGGGAACCCATATTACAAGTTTCCGATTTGGCTGATCATTTGGAACCCCCTCGCACCTTGTACGAGGGAGTTTTTTCCTTACGAACATGTTATCAGCAAACGGAACAGTATTTGGACGTTTCTGTTTTTCCACCCCGATCATTACTAACGACAGGAGCCACCATCGCCTTGATTAAACAAGAAGCGGAAGCACCGATAAGTGACGTGCCGAATCTAATGCAAGAAATGACGGATCTAACAGGGCTAACTGTGGAACCGTCTTCGGTTGGTTCAGAAATTAATGCGGAAACTAAAGAAACGGAGATGATCGGCCCCGCTGAGTCCCAGATGATAGCAGCTGTCTTTTGTGTTCGCACCCGTAGTTCTGTTTTCTCTAGTGTCCATGAGCGGCGGGAACAGCCAGTTGATTGGATCGATATGCCCCTCAAAATGTTCGGGGAATCAACGATCCCCCTCCCGAGCCACGTTYCCGCGGAACTTCGGAAGTCGTTAATCTGTGTATTGAATGGTTATGCAGAAGTGCTGAGCGTGCATGACAATGATATTGGATTAACTAATGTAATTGAACATGCCATTCTCACGGGAGATCATCCGCCCATTAGCTGCGCTCCCTACCGATACTCGCCAGCTCAACGAGGGGCCGCCTTTCAGCGGATTAAGGAGTTCGAAGCTAATGGATGGATCGAACCCGCTATAGGACCATGGTCTTTTCCTGTAGTGATAGTACCCAAGAAGGCTGAGGGGATTCGCATTTGCATTGATTATCGAAAGCTGAATGACATCACGATTAAAGATGTGTATCCTCTCCCCCGGATTGATGAGTTATTGGATGCGATTGGGAGTGCTCGATTTTTCAGCAAGTTTGATGTTCGTCATGGGTTCCATCATCTTCTTGTCCAAGAGGAAGATCGACCGAAAACGGCGTTTGTGCTTTTCGAAGGTACGTGGCAATGGATTCGATGTCCGATGGGTATCTGCAATGCCCCTGCAACTTTTCAGCAGACCATGAACATGGCTTTTCAGAATTTCGTACGGAAGACTCGATTGGCACAGAGCATCATCAACTACTGCGTGATTGTGTACATGGATGACATCCTAGTGTATTCGAGTTCCTACGAGGGACACGTGCAGCACATCGAATGGGCACTGCATGCGTTACGAGATGCAGGTTTCAAGGTTGCGCTTGAGAAGTGTCAGTTTTTCCTTACCACTATTTCTTTCCTGGGGCACGTGGTGACAGACAAGGGGCTCCAACTGGAGCCGCTGAAGGTGGCAGCTGTCAGGGACGCGCCAGTKCCTACCACTCTCACGCAAGTTCGCGCCTTTCTGGGCCTAGCCTCGTATTACCGAAGATTTATTAAGGGCTTCGCGGCGATTGCGGGACCCTTCACAAATCTCCTGCGCAAGGATCAGCCATTGATCTGGACGCCGGAGTGCGATCAAGCATTTTTCAAACTCAAGGCTACTCTCATTTCGGCTCTGGTCCTTATAAGACCAGATCCCGAAAAGCCTTTTGTTCTCATCACCGACTGACAGCCAGAGGCGRTTTCGGCGATCCTTGCCCAGGTGGGACCAAGSGGACTCGAGAGTGTGGTGGAGTATGCGTCCAAATCAGTACCCGCCTGCAAGCGCAACTACGCCGCTCCGACAGGAGAATGCTATGCGGCTCTCTGGGGAATCAGTCACTTCCGTGTTTACCTGTATGGGCGAAAATTCACCCTGGTGACTGATCATGAGCCCCTGTTGGCGCTGAAGAAGTCGAAGGATTACTCGGGCATGATTGGGCGATGGGCAACGGTGCTGCAGAGCATCGACTTTGACATCCGTCATCGAAAGCACGAGAGACATGGGAACGCGGACGGATTAACACGACTGCACCGGCCTGAGAAAGTTCTGAAAAGTGRGGAGGTGATTCCGTGGAACGAACCCGAGCAGAAGATTGAACCTCGGTACGGCCAAGTGGAGATTTTGTCGAAGCAGTAAGTGACACGAGGACTAATTTGCCAGCTTTACTCTCTCCAYAATTTAGTCCCGTCTCTTCCCCTYTGTCATCATGATTACCCCGTCTGCCTTCASAACCCCTTCTTCTCCTAGTAATTCTGCCCCTCTTACTTCCTCAGCTTTCTTTGCCACCCTCCCCGRGAAATTCTGTTATTTTTGCWCGTGCATTGCACGGGTTTATGGGGTCGACTGTCATCCCTTCGAAACTRGGTYTGTCGATTGGGTAGAATGTGCCACGTGTGTCAATCGTGCGCACGGGGCCTGCGTACGATATTGGACGAGTAGCAAGGAATGGAGGTGCCCCSTATGTAGAACGGACAAACTCCCCATGGAGGTTCGATTCGAGGCCGCCCGTACGGACGGTCSTGAATAYGACGAAAAATACCGACGGGYGGAAGTTTGGASAGATAAAATTTTATTGGCAAAATTAGCGGGGTTATCATTGGGCCACCTCACCAAWCACGACAGACGTAGGGCAACCGAGAGATCTCGGGACTATCGACGGATAAACGGTCATTTGGAAAAGCGTAAAACTGACGGATCGGGTTCGTGRCTGACGGTTCCCCATCCCTTCCAGAGATACGATTGRATCCGATCTGCTCACGAGGAACAGGCCGCTCATTTCGCGATACKTGTCACGGAGGCAACTATAGACCAGAACCGATGGTTCTGGTCCARTATAYGAGATGATGTCAAATACATYGTCRCTAACTGTCTRGTCTGTGCCGCTGATCGCGCCCCTATATGGGGACCAAACACGATCGTACCAACGGAAGTAGAGCGTCCTTTCCAGCGAGTCAGTATGGACACGACAGATATTGACGTGCCACCTGGCCCAAACCGCTGTGAATATTCTATTTTATTAGTATNAGTAGAGCGTCCTTTCCAGCGAGTCAGTATGGACACGACAGATATTGACGTGCCACCTGGCCCAAACCGCTGTGAATATTCTATTTTATTAGTATTAATTGACCACTTTTCCAAGTACATCGAAGTCTATCGCTTTAAGACCCGAATGGCCGCCGAGATAGCCACGTACATCGAACAGTTCCTCTACACCCATCTAGATACGGAAGAAATTCTAACTGACAATGGATCTGAATTTAAAGGTGAGGTAGAAGAACTACTTGTGCGAAGGGGCATCACGCTCCGACATACAGCACCCCACGTACCCCAGTCGAACGGGTTGGCCGAAAATGCCAACCGTATGATTAAAACCGCCCTTCGCAGGAACTTAGCGGCACACGTCACGCGTCCTTGGCCCGAGATCGTATATCAGATCGTCGGCATCCACCGGGCCACCCCTCACGAGTCTACGGGGTTCACCCCCTTTCAGCTTCGAACTAATAGCCTCCCTTATGTCGATTACCGGGGTCACTCGGAAATTGCCGAAGCAGGGGGTAGAGACACGCGTGCGGCCCTCAAGGCCAAGGCCAAAAGGTACACCGATTTGATGGAACGGGCCGTTCCGAAGCTAGCCCGTAAAAGACAAAGGATGACCGAGCTGGCCCACGGTAGACAGGTCCATAGCTACGAGGCCCGGAACGGAAATGCTGGGCCCCAGTACCATTATAAATTGGGGGACCTAGTGCAGGTACGTAAATGTGCACGCCACCGGAAACTCGCTCCCAAGTTCTCTGGCTGTTTTTGCGTTGTCGAACTCGGACCCAACGGCGCTAACACAGTGCGCATCACGCCTGAGGCTAGCGCCAGCCATAGCTCCGTCCCCATCGTCTGGCATATCTCCTACCTCCGTCTCCTTCCTCCTTCCGATCTTCCTCCCTCTTCTTCTTCGGAAAGCGAGGAAAACGACGACGATCTAACCCTCTCTCCTCTTTCTCCCTCTTGTCCCCCGTCCTCCTCTCCGACCTCGCCATGAGTTTTATCATGGAGCGGGTTCTTGACGAACAGCTGCGGCAGCCACGTGGCCACATCTCAGAGATTCGCCAAGTTTGTCACCCTCGGCTCAATACGGATCTTCGCCGTTTGATGCGATTCTTCTGCGATGAAGGTATCTGTGATGCCGCCGCGTTTCGGATAGAAGGAAGCCCTCATGCGATAGTGTTCGCGGAGGTTACTGCAGCTCATCGGCGAGCGGGTCCCAGAACGAGCCACGTCACCACAGTGGCGGGATTCACCGGCGACATCAGCTCGGTCAATCCGCTGCAGCATACCACGATCTTGGCATCGCTGCGCGAATGGACGGAGCAAGTGTCCAATGTGTGGCAGCACATCCTCGCCCGGGAGGGGTATAACATCATCCCGATCTTTGCATCGGATCTTGACGGTATTCGTCGATCACCACGTGATCGGCCAGTTGTGATTCCCACCCTCGTTCCCTTCCCCCGTCCCGAATGAACCACACCAATCTTCTCGCTCTTCTCTCTACCTTTGGTCTTCCCTCTCTCTTCCCCACCTTCTGGCAATCCGATCTTCACCCTTCTCTCTCCTTCTTGTTCGAGCCTCTTTCAGGCCCTCTTATCCACCCTGGACATTGGCGGCTGTGGCGCGAAACCTTTGAGGAACTGTCCTTCTGCTTGGCCAGAGTACAGGTGACGTGGACAGGCACCAGCGAGCATCCCACGTGGATCGAGAGTCCGGAGCTGCTGATCATACAGGGTTGGAGGACTAACGCGGAAGGAGATCTTATTGGATTCCTCTTTGGATCAGTACGACCGGGTCGCCATTAATTGATTGCACAGGAGCTCATCGCACCGATCGTACAGTTGGCGGACGATCTCTCGCCCGACATTTACTTTCAGAGTGACGACAGTCCTGCTCCGTACATTTTCGAGCGATCCTTGGATCCGTACCTTCAGTGGACTTTGTGCTTGGAGGAACCTAGGGACGAGGATACGCTACCATCGCGGCAGGAGTATCTGAAGTCGTACGAGATCATCCCTTACGCCTTCTACCCGAGGGCAGAAGAAGTGGTGATCGACGACGACGACGAAGAAGAAGACGACGACGAGGAAACATCAGAGGAGGGAAGCTATAGTGAACATAGCGAGGGCGAGCTGAGTGAGGTGGAAGACGAAGGAGAAGGAACCGGGTCCGAGTGGGAAGCCCCGCCGGAGGAAGCGACACGTACGGGAACGGAGGCGGAAGATCCGGAAGTGGCGCGAAAGCTCGAAGAGATTGCCTCTAGAAAGCGCCAGCTGGAGTTCGCTAGCGAGGCTAGCCTGCGCATCGGTAGCGATCCGACCAAGGATCGAGAGCTGTCGAGGCCCGAAGATGGCGACCCTGCAGCCGCCACCTCAAGTACCGCGCAACGGAGACGGCGCCGATCCCCCTCCTCCTCCAGCCCCACCCGTCCCCCAGTTCGCCCACGTACCAATGCGGACGATAGGCCTTCGTCCTCGAACGCTGTCCCGCCGACCCCTTGATTTCCTCACCCTAGAGCAGATCCGTACCCCCGTCACTTTCCCTTCCCATCCTTTCCATCCCCATCTCTTCCGCGACTTCTACTCTACCCGTCTACTCGCCACCATCCATCCTCACGCCTCCCTTCGGTCCGCTGCTCCCACATTCTGCTGGCATCTCCTGCTATTCAGCGCTGCATGGGAGCGAAGCAACTTCGTAGAAGTTTACTGCGTTGCCACGGGGACAATCCCCGCCTGTCGCCACTTCGAGATCTTTCGAGCGGCACTTTTCCGCACCCTCTCCTCCTTCTTTCGCGATTACCTCGCTTCCCTCCCCCGCAGTGGCGATCATTTCCCCCGCTTCCACCGGATCATCCGATATGAGGAGCTCCCGGTGACGGTGGAAGGGATGAATCGCTTCCTACCCCCACTCCCCCCCCGTCATCCCGGCGAGATCCCCGGCATGTACCGCCTCTACTGGCCTATTCCAGCTAGGCGGTAGAACCCATTCCCTTGATCCCCCCCCCCCCTTCTCTCCTCCCTTCATCGACACGAATCAGTAAGCTTCGCAAAGATCACGTCATCAACGATGACGTCAACCTACGCGCTGATTCGACGAACGGCAACGAGCAAGGGTGCAGAGCACATAAAGATCAGGTGGACCATGATGGCGTCACCTGGACGATCTCCACGAGGCAGAGTGTTGCATATGACAGGGCTGTGGAGATCTTGCCACAGATGTTGTCGCCATCTCATCCGCGACCCAGTTATCGTTCCTTGTACTTCCTTTACTCTGTTGATACGCTTGGTTCCTCATGCATCACTCTGTTCTCCCCTCCTTCCTTCGCTATGAATTGCAATCAGGAGATCGCATAATTTTGGAACTCCCTGCGCGTCACATATGTGACGAACCACTTCCCGACCCCGTGCTATCTTTCGTACCCTTTCTTTTGCTCGTATCTTACCAACCCCAGGAAAACCCCGTCTTGATTTCTTGCTTTTAGGTACCTCATTTTCCTTTTTTTTGAGAGATTTTTCGACTGCTGAGTTCTGTTTTTTTTGCAAAGTCGGGAAACATATGGGAAATTACGTGCGCCTTAGCGAGCGCACTGGGAATTGGGCTCGGTAGTTGGGAATTCCGGGATAAGCGAAACTTCGACGTGTCCTTTTTGGATGTG